AGTAATATATTATTAGTTTAGTGGTATAAGTTAAAAGTTCTTTAGTTTACGCGTATTTTTAAGTATTACATTAGGTTAGTGATATAAGTTATAAGAGACAAGATAAAAAATGAGTCCCAGTAAACGTCCTATGTCAAGGAAAAGGAGAGCAATTGCACTGCTTTAGTATTTATTATTTATATTACAACCGTTTTTAAAAGCTTTTATTTAACTTCATGCAACTTTTCTAATATGGAGATTATCAAAGAAAAAATGGACGGATTGATAAGTACATTGACTTTTAAATGTCAAATGTGGAATATTGAAAAGGAGATAGCAACATAGGATTCTGGTAACAATTCACTGAACTTGAATGGTTCTGGTTATGCAGACATACAGCAGCAGCACGCTGCATTAAATATACCTGTGATTTCCTACAGGCAGTATGCAAAACATACGGAAACAGTTGCAGATATCATCGGCCAAACACTTTGTGATTCCTTAGAAGAGGCTGGACGGGAGGAATTAGCTTTAGCCAAAGAAATTGGTGAAGTACATTCCGACGGAAATGAGTTTACAGCTGATGGTGCTTGGTCAAAAAGATCGTATAAAGTAAACTACGATGCTTCTTCAGGTGTAGTACCTGACGTTGTAAAATTTATTAAATTAGTACGCCTTTGATGGATAGGACATGTAATTAGGCGAGATGAAGATGAAACGATCAGAAAAATTTTCGACCGAAGAGGACCAGTGGGAAGACGATCCAGAGGAAGACCAAAACTTAGGTATCAAGGTAACATAGAGGATGATCTAAAATCCATCAGAGTTAAAGCATGGAGAAAGTTGCCAGAGGCAGGGGCGAATGGAAGATTGTTCTGAAGAAGCCTTTGGCTCATGACGAGCTGAAATGCCACTGATATGATGAAATAACTATCCACGATTTGTGTTTTATTCATCAATTGGATACTTTTCTTATGTAACTGCAACCTATAAATATATTAAAATAATGTATATTCCATTCAGAGAACTTTTTCCTCGCAGTGCGTCGCCTCGAAATACTTGCCAGATAAATACATTTACTATTATGATGGTTTCGCGGGTACCAATTTTTTATAGATAAATAAAAATATTTTTTGTTTAATTTTTATTACGCTAATATCAGTTTTCTCTAACAAATATTAACAAAATATTAATTATATATTAATATTAATATAACAAAATTTAAATTTATTATAAATAAACACCATGGTGTTTTTTGCAGTCACGTTTCACAAATTTTTATTTAATACTATGTTTAGCTAAGACATATAAATTAAAAATGTGATTATTTCTTTTTAAAACATTATCTACGATAATTAATCTAAAAAAAAGTATTCCGACAAAACTAATTTGAATGGAGAATAATGCATTTATTTTAAACAACCCGTGGGCCGGCGCCACTGAATAAACATCCAAACTATTAGAACGCTATTCGGAAGTCACGTAGGGTCTGACATAGCAGTGTAGAAAAGTAAGTGATACGCCCACTTCAAATCGCAGTATGCTATAACTGCGAAAACAGCCATAACTCTAAACGCTAAACCAGCCAAAATTTATATTATACAGGTATATATGCCAACATCCGAAGCGGCAGAAGATATATTAGAAGAAACATACCACCTGATACATGAAACCATCTCTATCATTCCTAAAAAAGAATCAATGATTACAATAGGAGATTGGCATGCAAAAATAGAAAAAACTAACAGAGATGACCATTTGAAAGGAACGATAGGGGAGCATGGCTTAGGCGAGCGAAATAAACAAGGTGAACGGCTCCTTCAATTTGCCACCTATATGGATCATACATAGTATAGTAAACACAATATTTAAACATCATCCGCGGAGATTATAAACATGGTCTTTGTCTGGAGGACGATACAAGAACCAAATAAGTTATATTCTTGTCACTAAACGATGGAGAAGCTCAATAATCAACGTGAAGATAAAACCAGCTGCAGACTGTGGTTCCGACCACAAAATGTTACAAGAACAATTTCGCATTAAGTTATACAGTAAAACAATCACAAATACAAGACAAAAATTGATTCCAAAACACTCAGAAAAGTTTAGAGAAGCATTAGCAGAAGCTGACCCACCAGCGACTACCGGAGACCCTAAAAAACGTGGGAATACACAAAGAAATGGATCACTGAAGCCATCAACAACACTAACCCAAAAGGATAAACAGCTAGAAAAAAACATTTAATTAATGGTTTTGATAACATCAATATAATACCAATTTCTTTCATTGCTTGGTTTCTTACAGACGGGTTATCACCCAAACTCATTTGAATTTTTCAAATACGCCGCCCTATAAATTGGGTTGGTACCTCAACCTTGTAGTTGTGTCGTAGTTTTATGACCTCAAGGTTGGCTGTCTTTTCACGTTGTTGGCGCTGTTTGCTTCAATTAACGCCATTTTACGGGCGACAGTCGTGAGGCCTCGATTGGTAACTTCATTTTACACTATATTTATTTAAATTTTAATATTAATCTCTTTAATAATGCTACCAAAGGTTAAAATCAAACCATGAATATTGCTTATATAGTTGTAAGTGAATCTAAATATATTCTTAGTTCTTCATTCTCTGCTTAATGTTAAATTACAATTACATGTATATTAGACCACACGACCTCTTGCTGTGCTAAGTTTTGATAAGTTGCTAATTGTTGTTAGTTTAATTGATTGTTTATACAATATTACCGTATAATGTCCATTTACTTGAGCTTTATCACAATTTTAATATCATTGACTGCTACAAATCTTTTTAAGGTAATACTTAAAACATCTTTTCCATGCTTGTGTGGTTTTCATATTGTATTTTTAGATGAACTGATGATGCTTTCAGAATACGAAAGCGAAACGTCTTCAAAATAGATAAAGTAGCCATCAACTTTATCTTTTTATTTCTCCACCTTGAGACCGATATAAGAACCCACCACTCGTCTGAGTGATCCTTACTATATATTGGATTGACGGTATATATTTTCCGATATATATATATATATATATATATATATATATATATATATATATATATATATATATATTGTTGTACTTTTGAATGTCCATAAGCAATAAAAAACCGATATACAAATTTTATTACTTAAATAAAATATTAAAATTATTGATATTTCATAAAGACACGGGCATATAAATTTTCAAACATCCTGTATAAGACAAAATATGTATTTTAAGTTGTTCGAAGAATTGTTCATTAGGCCTCAGAGACAAGACTTTCAAATATTATCGATAAGAAATTTAAATAAGTCGGTTATTGTGGAATGGATTTACCCGGAATAAAAGTGTAAATAGAAAGTGTTTAAACAATAGACCGGGATTTGCGGTGGTTTTTCTCCCCGAAAGATTATATCGGTAAAAGTTTATTAACAAAAGACATTGAATTGAGAAACAGGTATCGTTTGTAGCTATTAGTAAGAAATATTTGTAAAGCAGATAGATTTAGTTAGAATAATTAAAGAATGTTGTTTTCTGGAATTACCCGAATGACGTTTTATAGAGAGAGTTGGTTGGTAACGATATACGTCACAGAGGTGGATGATTTTTATTGGTCAATTTTTGAATGCAAGGAGGTGGTGGTTTTGGCTATGAGATAGGAGAGAGGAAAAAAGTTGGTTAGTCAGTTTTCGTCGTCCAAGAAGGAAGGAGCTTTGTGATTTGTGTTTGTTTGAAGTCCCGAAGACGTAATTTACCGGGTGTGTTTATTTGCTGTGTAAAAGCTGACCAGTGTGAGGAACGGGGTACAGAGAGATAGAAAAACCAAAGGGTATAAGAATATTAATATCAGACGAAGCCGGAAACATTTGGAGTTATAAACAGGCGCGGAGATTGGCTCAAAAGGAGGCTGCATAGAATAACACGAGTTGTTGGGTTGCAGAAACAAGGACAGATAGGAGAAAGGTGTACGTCATCTGGACCACAATAGGAGCAGAAGCAGAGAAAGGTTTTTTTTATGGCGTGGCCATAGAATTGCAACGGCAGAGAAAGAAAGGTCAGTCAATTTTCATTAGAGCAGGAGTGTGGTTTTCATTTATTAATTAAATAAATTGAATAAATAATAGAGACAGTTAATTTTGCGATCATTAAAAAAAAATATTATAAAAAGAGCTTAGTTATAACACATATTAAAAATCAATGTAAAATAACATTTGGGTCCATGATAGAAAACAACTTCTCATATATTTAAAGTTAGTATATTGCAAATATTACAGGATTGATTGTTATATAAAATTTCATTAAAATAAAGGACATCTCACATATAGTTCAGTTGAAATTCTATGTATTTTATTCAGGTCATATTACCTATCCCAATTAGGAAGCCAATTGGAAAATATTTTGAATCCACGATCAAAGGTAAATAGTACAAGTTAAATAGCCTGAGATTGTAATTAATTAATGCTGATTTATTGTGATTAATTGGAGATTAGATCATTTAATAAATATAGACAGGATTTTTTCTAAATAAGCAATATAATACAATTTAAATAGCATAACAATACATATATATATATATATATATATATATATATATTATATATATATATATATATATATATATATATATAGTGAGAGTAACACTTCAGTTTTTATATAACCATCCACCCAAGTGAAGGAAGCAAGAACACCCGAGATTCCACAGTCGAGCGCCCTGGAGAGAGAAAAGAAACTACATCAAAGGTAACAACAAATTTTACATATCGCCACACTATTCAAATATTTGATACATTTGAATTTTAACTTTATATCGTCAAACCCTTTAAATAAATGTTTGATTTGACTTGACTTGACTTAGGTAAACTCCTATGTTGATCAACACATTTGTTCAAACTTTTAAAATCTGTATGACCTAATAAACTTTGATTATTATATTTTTGTAGTTTTATACACTATTTCTATTTTCTGATGGTATATTTGATTAACTTGTAGTCTCTAGGATTTATTGATTAAGGAAAAAAATCTACTTACTTGTACTCAAATATTGATAAGCGGCAAGTGTCAGTTGTGGACTGATTCTCATCTTGTTTAATTCACCACGTTTCTCGGCAAATACCGTAAAGTCTTGTCTTCTTTCGGCATGCCTCTTTCTCTTCGAACGATTGTCAGCTAAAAATTAAACATTATTAAAATAAAGTAATAATATTCCAATAAAAATAAAATCCTACTATCCGTTTGTTCAGTGTCGTACCCGCGGGGGGTTGTGGGAGTAAAACCCCACAACTGAGGGTACCAACATGGTACAATATTCAATATTTTTTTCACTTTAGGGAGTCTTCAATAAGTACCTATTGTATTCAACAGCTGCTTAAACCTAAAAAATTATCATGAAGCTTGTAACAATATTTCTGCATGCTCGCTAACATGTCTCTGCAGCTTCCACAAAAAGGAGAGATTTTGATCAAACAAATTCATGCTTTAAGCTGATTTTTCAAGTTTTGAGGAGGTGTTGTTAGACCATTTAACCAATACTAAAATTCCAATACATAGCTGAATGATTCCAATTTCATTTGATCAGATTTGTATATTACAATATCTCTATACATCATTCTTTTTTAAGGTAGTAAATAAAACATGTTGTAAGGTACTAAAAACTTGAGTTCAACGCAAGTGCCTTGTACAATAGCATACATCTCCATTTTCAAAGACATCATTCCTCTTCTATTACCTTTCTGTGCTTCGTTACAAATTATTAGAAACGAACGTTTGGATGCTATTTCTGTGCTGGGTCTGAAACTGCGCGGTGCTCTGAGTTGAGTAGAAGCTCTCCAGGCAGTATCCTACGCAGAGCTGGCTGGACAAAGGGGTTCTCAGAATTGACACACTTGGACTTACACAAATGTGCGCAATCAGATATCCTCATGCACATCTACATGCTCAGTCCAGATCATCAAACAGATACGCCATGCAACTACTTGCCTAATTCGGAAGTGTAACACAATCATGCCCAGGGGGTGCATGGTACAT